AGATATAACCACTGGCCATTTTTCAGCCTGCTTGTGTGTGTCAAGAAGCAAGACCAGTAGAGGAATACGAATATGAAATATAGTGGGGAAGAGCAGAGATGTGATAATGAAACTGCCAACAAACAGCAAAGTGTTTTATTGAGCACAGGTGAAGGCCTTCTTATGAGATGATCTTTGATGGAAGGAGAGGAAGAGAAAATGTCAGCATTCCGTCAAGCAAAGAAGGCAGCTGGCTGCAAGGTGCAAACCTGTCAGAGCATCATTCCTTTATGTGCCTTTACTCTGTGGTTTGGGAGAATCCCTTCAGGAACGCTGCTTTTTATCAAGATAGGAAGAGCCTTGTTTGCAGGATGCTGACAAAATATAGCTGTGCTTTACTGCCTTGAATCCTGCTTAGTTAAAGTAGCTCCTGAGGGGAAAATGCAGTGGGAGCAGTGGGGTCCAGGCTCTCTCCTGGGTGTGTGGGGCACCTCCGACGTGCACGTGGGGACAGAGCTGGAGTGGGGCAGCGTGGCCCTGACCTGCCAGCCAGCACTCCAGCTGGACACTGCAAAACACATGCTGTGTAGCAAAAAGGCAAATCAAAAAGACAAATCAAACCTCAGAGGGGTGTTGTGGAAGAGAACTAAAGCACCTCTTTAAGGTTGGTCTGCTCTTGCCATGTTGTTCCGTATTGCCCAGGCTGGGTGTTAGGATTGTCCCGCTGTGAATGAATCCCATCGAAGGGCTCTCGACAATTTTCTCATCTCACAGACATCTACATTAATCTTTTCTGGCATCTCTGGTGTGAACTACCCTAAGTAAAGGACAGGTTTTTTTCTTATATTCATTTAGGTGCTAGAGCCTCATTATAAAAAGGTTTTAAATAAAAGTGTCTCGATTCCAACCTTATAGCTACCACACAAACCTCTGCTCTGCATGCTTGTGGTTGATGAAGTGGCATACAAAGAAATAAAACCATTTATTTTGCTACAGTCAAAATAAATGTGTAATTTATTATATTTATCCCTCTGCCAGATTCCTCTGAAATCTCAGATGAGACTCAGATAGGCTACAAGTGTCTTAAAATTGCACTGTTCTGTGCTCTGCAGGGTGCAAGATGGTTTTGTTTGTTAAAACAATTTCTAATTTATGTTTTTACAAGTCTTGAGGAGCCAAGCAGTTCCCTGCTCTCTGAGAGACCACTGAGTTAAACAAGGTAGAGTGATTTGTCTTGCCTCCATTTAGCTGTAATGAGTATTAAGTGGTTTATCTATGTGGAGAAAAGTTACTCAGCTAGATTACATCCAAGCTGAATTACATCCCATTCCAGATGGAGTATGTTTTTCAGAACAGTAAATCTTAAGGAGGGTGGATAATAACAGTAATGCGCCTTCCTGAGCTGGAACGCAGCTCCTCTACCTCTCATGGAGATAATATGGGCAGCTACATCCAATTAGTTTTCCCAAGGCTTGGTAAAGAAACAGGACTTCAGGTTTTACAGCTCTGTGAACAATTTAGCTTGTAGAATTTACATTGTGCCAGTGCACGATGGTGATTACGGTTTTCACCCGTTCTGCTGTCGTGGGTAGCAGCCTGGCAGGGCACATTGCTGCCTCTCTCCCCAACTTCCTCCTCTGTGTGATGGCTGCCACAGAAGGGAGGGTGCTGAGTGGGATGTGGAATATTTTGATGGGAAATTTTGTTCCCTCTGGTGCCATCTGGTCCACGAAGGCACGCACCACTCGGGCAGCTGGTTCTCGTGGCCCCAAGGGGTAACTAGAGGAGGATGCTGGCCCTGATGGCTTCCCAGGCAGCACTGAGTGCCAGAGAAAAGAGTGCCAGAAAGCTTATCCTCAACCGTGTATCCTTGACCACTATAGTTGTCTGGTCACCAGCAGGGCACTAGCCGTGTGGGTAGTTTCAAAATCAGTGCCATGAGGTGTGGCTAGGTGGGTGTGCTGGGGGTGTGCCCCAGTGCCTGGGAGCTGCTCAAGCTGCTGAGGAGAGTGCTTGTGGGCTGGTGAAGGTGGAGCACTGCTCACAGCTGGCAGCAGGCTTTGGCACAGCAGTGAGGACCATTTGTTTGATTTCTAATGGAAAAGGATGTGAAGGTCTGATCAGTCAGTGATCCAGCTCTGCTGCCTCTCCTGGATGGGTCAGTGGGGCTGTCCTTGTCTCCTGCCTCTGGAAACTCACTGATAAGAGAAAGGTCAGAGGCAGAAAAATGCTGGGGATGTGTTCCTTGATATAACATGGATGAGACCCAGCCTGGGGTTTCACTGCTTAGCCTGGCAGTGTTACTGCCTGCTGTTGTGAGAGTTATGAGCTGTTTTAAAACTGAGATCAAGATGCAAATGGTTCATCTGGCACCTGCCTCAACACAGGCAGGTCCAGAAGACAGAGGTGATTCATCTCTTAGGGCATAGTAAGGACTGGGATGTCTCTGAGCACTGTTTCACAGCCTTTGCCTGAGATGAAGCATTTTCTGCTGACAGAACAGCTCATTTGTTGTTTTGTTTTTTTCTTTTTCTTTCCTGTGTGTATTTTATGTTGCCATAGGGTGTTTTCTGGCTGAGGTCAGACATCAAACATGGTTTGGGGTTGAACAGTGGTGTCTGAAGAATTCTAGCAGTTCTTGGGTCAGGCTTTCAGGACCAGTGGTGTACCTTGGCTTCTGAGGATGCAGGGCTTGCCTTCCCAAGGAGAATCTTTCTTATTGGTAAGGGGTGTGAAACCACAGAGGGGAAATAATTCTCTATTTCCTTTTCTTTAGCAGTCATGCTCTATTCTTTTCATCAACCAGTCAGTCCTGGTAGCATTCAGGGCCTGAAGATGACAGCTTCTGCGTCACCATTCATCTGCTTAACCTAAATTTCTTGTAGCTGCTAGCACAATGAGGGTACTGGTGAAGCTGGAATGCAGGTGGGAAGGGCACCTTATCTGACCAGATCTACCAGTGGAAGCTGTTGTATCCAACACACAGCCAGTAGTCTCTGGTTGTCTTCAGACAGAGATTGAGACTGGTTTTGGAACTGTTATGGCAAATGGATATTATTGTACTGAATTTAGGGCTAAGTTAACAAAGTGTGATGGCCTGGAGCACAGAGGAGATCAGAACAAAGAATCCATGGTCCTCTTGGCTTTAACAATCTCAAACTCCCCTTGCACCCTGCTGGAGGACAGGTTCATTACTAATTCATCAAGTTCTTCAAGCTGATCCCAAAATCTTGCTGCGTTCAGCACCGATCTACTGCAGCATTCTCTCTCCAGCTTTAGCATTGCGTGCCTAATGCATGAGGCCTTCACAGGGGAAGTGCTTTAGATTGATTCTATAACCTACTTGGTTTGCTCTCCTTTCCTCTGGAGAGTCCCCCATGTTAGGGTGGTTGTTGGGCTGAGTTTGTGATCCCTGCAGCTCAAGCTGTTGTTGCTGTGAACCTTGTCACCACTTAAGCTGTTCACTGAACTTACACAGCTCCCTACAGTGTCTTCTTAACCTTTCTCATGAGGACTTGTTTGGATTTCCTGGGTTTGAACAAAGCATAATCCAGTCAAAAAACTGAGCATTTTTTCCTCTGAGAGTGTGCTTTAGATGGGCACTTGACTTGGATCCATCCTGCTGTTCCTTTGTGTGGTTTGGCACTGGTCTATGGTAACACTTTTTTGAGCATATTCCAGTTTTTCCCTTGAGTGGCCAAAGCAGTCTCAGTGATTATCCGTAGCTTCCCTGCTAGCCTTTCTGCTGAGCTGCCCCCAGAGTGGCCAGGAAGAGCTTTCAGGTTTAGTGCTGAGTGCTTTGGCAGCCCCTGGCAAAGGCAGAGAGAAGCTCTAGCACAGAGCCAGCCTAAACCCCACACGTGTGCGTGGGTGCGTGTTTGTGTGCCAGAGCTGCCGCCTGAGCTGCCTGCTGTCCATGGAGGGGCTGATCCCAAAAGGTGCTGGCCATTGCAGCACACACCCACTGGCACCGGGGCCCTGGTGTTAACACCCCGTTCCTTGCCAATTCACGCTCAGCAAGGAACCCTGGGGTGGAACAGTGGCTTGTGCAGTCATGCTGTAATAAATGAGATCAGGGAAATTATAATTTTGCACTTTGCAGAGCCCCTTTAGAAGTGTGGAAAATGTTTGGGGTTTTTCGTATACTTATGTTCCAAAACTTTTCCTCCTGCTGTAACAGCTCGTGGCCTCTGCTACTGAAATTACAAGTGGAGGAGAAATTTTGCAATCTGGAGAGCAGTAAGCCACCCACAGAGCTCTCCAGTGACTTATCTTCTATGCCAGGCCACCCTATCTGGTGTTGCTGTCTTACTGTGATGGTAAACTGGCCATTGCATTCCTTCAGGTTGAATATTACCATTTTATGTGAGGGTATTCCGAATTTTATTGTCCTGGTGTTTTTCTGGTTAGTATCACGTGCTTCCACTAGGAAAAACAGATGTCCTGGGCAGGCACTTGTGTGTGTCAGGCTGTGTGCATGCTGCAGCTCTGTGGCCTTGCTGAATACACTTCTCCCCCTTTTACAGCACTGGGAGTTGTGGCACTGACCTCCTCTTAGAGCTGTGCCAACAGCTTGGTTTTGTGAGTTTCTCAGTTGTTTTCAAAAGAAAAAGGCACGTGTCTGGAGGGGTTGTTTATTCAAACCTAAAAGGAAACATCTTGTTCTGTTGTGGAGTATTTTGGTGCATTCTAGATGAATGAGAATAGCTCTCAAAACTAGGAAATTACTTTTATGAAAGTACAAAACACAGTGTTTTAACTTCATTTTCCTTCTGTATTACCCACCCCTCAAACTGGCATTGATGCAGATTCACAGAAGGTACTGCTTTTGCTGAATCTCAGCTTGTTAGTGAAAAAACCCTTTGACAGAGTCTCTCTCACCCTATACACGCAGGGTTTTATTCATTAGGTCTTTCCCAAACTTGCCTTCCACAGAATGGAAAATGTATTGCTGTCTGACAGTACTTGCCTGTACCACAAGAAGCTTAAATGTGTTTGTTTTTTTTTCTCTTTTCCTAAAGATTCGTCTTCCAACTATATCAGGCAACTTGAAACAAAAGTGAAACTGCTGGAGGATGACAACAAGCTTCTTTCCCAGGTAGGTTTTATGAGAGATAATAGATACTAGTGTGGCTCACTTCTCCTGTTTCCACGTGGTTGTGTCTGAGTGCCCATTTTAATCCACATTGGCTTTTGGAAAACATCCTGCCAAGGAGGAACACAATTCATATTTACCCCACACAGATAGAATTTGGTCTTCTTTCGTTAAAATTAAAAAAAAAAAAAGAAAAAGAAAGTGAATCCTCTGTTATTGTCTGTGGGTGTTTGAGAGATGCATTAATGCCTCCCTGCAGAGGTCCTTGACCCACCTCTGCTCCTGGGGATGCTGTGAGAGTCCAGTTCTGCCTGTGTCCTTGCTGTAGGATTTTTGTCTTGCTTGCCCATTTACATTGACTTTTATCTTGTTGAAAGATGAGACTGTTGTCAAAGGACAGCCTTGGGAATAGTTGTGTGTGGTGCAGGCTCCCAGCTTTTATTTGAGATCTTACTTAAATCTGAACAGACTCTCTAAAGGGGAACTTTTTGCTTGCATCTCCCTTTCAAAGTCTACTCCACGTGCCACTGTGCTTTTGATCACTCATGATGCTTACCTGTCTTTATGTAGCAATGTCAAGCAGTGAGAAGAAAACAGCCATTCTGTCTGGTATGTCCTCTGGATCCCCTGTAAAGCACAGCAGTTGCTGTAAACAGGGGCAGTTCTGCTGCATTCAGTAAGGCACTGTCTATTTAAACCATCAGAAAAGTTACCCTTTTTTTCCTGTTCTTTGCATCCTTTCACTGTTTTTATGTTCTACCTTCCTGGCATTTTAAAAGTCTTTTTTTCTATACTTTGCTTTCTACTTCAAGCACCATATTTTACAGTCATTTTGTTCCAGATTCTTCCCAATTATAAGGGCTGGAAATAAAAAAGCCCTTTTAGTATTTTTTTAAAATGCCTTTGTGCCAGATTATGTTGTGCTGCTCTTTGCATTTCACCAAATCAGAGAATAGACTGTTCCAGGATCGCAGTTCTAAAACATTCTCATTTAAAATTAACAAACTAAAATAATAAAGAGCTCTCTGTGTACTGAAATTTTAATAACATATTTTGTCAAATGTTATTTTTTTCTGAAATACGCATTTTGACCTGACTCTGAACTTTTTTAAAGATTACTCCTTTCTCCCAGCATACTCATTTGGCATTAGTAGCCATGAAAAAAACTCATAGGGCACCAAGGGGTTAAACCCCCAAAGGGTGCTCAACTCAACAGCTTTGTAGTTGCTTCATGTATTAATTGATTGCTAATTTGATTTTAACTGCCTGTCTCTCTCCCAAACTGTGTCTGAGTTGGTGTCTGGTGGCATGACTTTAATTGGAGCTATTGATAGGTGGATGGTCTGCATGTGTGCAGTTGGGATGGGCATGGATTCAGGCTTGGGCTCAATGTGCCCTTGGCCTAGCCTTGTCCTGCCACAGCCATGCACATTACTCTGTCAGATCTGCCTTCAGAGATCAAGAAAAAGTTGGTAATTAATGGTGAAAATGAATAGGGTCTGCATAGCTGCTTGGGCTTATTGCGTTGGGAGGATGATTAACCCAGTTAATTTTGGGTTGTGAGGGGCTGCTTCAGGTTCATGCCTCAACCCTTCACCTATGTGCTGCTCTGGGTGTGAAGCCTGTGCCTTTTCCTCCACTGTCCTCGGGTGTCATCATGTTTTGGGATGTCTTATTATAAATATTGGAATCCAGGAGGGAGGGAAATTGCCTTAAAATATCTCTGTGTTCTGGAGAAGGCAAGCCACCTCTCCAGTGGCAGCAGGTACTGATGGCAGTCTGGCTTTGATGTGGTGTGCAGCCCCTGTGTGGTGTCTCAATGGCCCTCCAAAAAGACCAGGATCCAACTTCTTTTAGATCACATCCAGGAGATAACTCTGTCTATTATAAGCAGGGAGAGAGCTTTCCTTAGGGCAACAGGACTGTTGAAGCTACCATGGGCTGGCTAAACTCCCTGGGAGTTGAGCTGCATCACCTTCAGTCTGTCATGCTACACACCCAGATCTAGATTTTTTTTCTCTTTTAATGAGAAAGATTAGGAAAATCTGTATAGACACAAACTCACATGCATATGTACATATAGCTCCCAGCACCTACCCAGAAAGTATAATCCACTTACTGTGTTTTTTCTTGCTTTGTCTGATTGGAAAGTGTTTAGCTGTTACCATGCGGATCTTGGGATAAGACTCTAGTCAGAAAGGATCCTGGCAAACTTTCTCCTGTTTTGAAAGTTGCCAGGTGATCCTGGCTGTTTGAACTCTGCGGTGCCAAACTGGCTTGTCAACACCAAAGTCACATTTTAACTCAGCTTGGCTTTCTCCCTGGGAGTATTGACTTTGCAATAATATTTGCAGCCCGGTGTCAAGAAGTTCTATCACCAGCGTGCTGAGGAGCAATGAAACCTGACGTCCTAAGTAACAAACAGTGCCTGTGCATTAAGGGATTAACAAATCAGGGGTGGTTATGGAAGTCTTCCTGGCTTCCTTCCAACTGCTAAACATAGAGCTGAAATAGTGCTTCATCCAGAGAAACCTGAGAAAGCCAGCACTGCAAAGGATGTTTGCAAGCTTTATGGCAGGATTTATGTTCCAGTGGCCAGTGAAACAGTACCCTTTTGCTGGCTGGTGCATCCTGAGTGAGATTTGCTGCTTTAATCTTTCTCAGCATCTCTGGAGTGAAGGTATGCTGAGAGGTGGTGTCTTTGTAGCCCTTCTGGAATCAAGTTGTTGTAGGGGATCCCGAGCTTGCACTTTTGCTCCTCTTTCCCAACATATCCTTTCTCTATAAACACTTCAGAAAAAAGCCTCAGTGGGACAGGCAAAAGCTCCCTAGCCTGTGCCTGGCAGCTGCTCTGCACAGTACATGTCACCTGCAGCACAGCTGTGCTGGGGTTCACACTTGTGTTTTTCTAGTGAGTTATTTGAACAGGTTAATGGAGAGAGCTTTTCTTGCTCTTGGAGATCAAGAAATACCATCTCACAAGCCTCACTGCAGTGGGAGGAAAGGAAATGGAGGTACGGGTGTTACTGTGATAACCATATATGTGGGATTTTTTTTATTGTTTTGACTTCTTTTGCTTTCTATTGAGGGACATGATTTCCAGTTGGAAAATGATAAGCTTCTGACATTGCTAACCCATCAATACTCCTCACTCTTTCCATTTTCCTTTTTCTGAGGAGAAATGACTCCAATTTTCACTTTTTTTGATGCAGTTTATGCTGTGATGTTTTGTGATGTCAGCTAGAAGGTCATGCTCTTGAATGGCATCACTGTGCTGCCAGAATCTCTGGCAGCAGTTCTGGCAACCCACAACTTTTGTTGCCCTGGTTTATATTGTTTGGGGAGAGGTTGTAGCAAATGCCACTACCAGAAAAGACCACTCAGTCCTGCTTTCCAGTGCTGGTAGGTGTCTGTGGTTTAGCCACAGTGGCAAAAACCCCACAAAGCCCAGTGAGGATGGTGTAAGCCTTTCTTACAGGTGTAGCTGGTTTCTGGAAGTTTTAGTTGTAGTGTAAAGAAGATGAATAGAAACTCTGAGAAATGTTGGGTGTTTGTTTTGGTGAACTTCATGGGCATCATTTTTGTAGTCTCACATTCTCCAGGGAAGAATTACACTGAGCTCTGCTGTGTGCATGCATTTGGTCTGTGCAGTATCATGAGGGTGAAGGCTTAATTTTCCTCTGTGTCTATGTGGGAAATGCCCAGAAGAGCTGGTGTTAGCCTTTAGTGGTGTCTGGTTGACTAGGTGAGGGTACCTTTGATATTGCCAAAATAATCCCTGAGGTGGGAGATCGTATTTGCTTTCCATTCCTCTGAGCTAGAAGTGTCCAAGCACATAATAAACCCCTCAAGCCACTTCATGTTGCCCCTTGAACAAAAAGGAATTTTTAATTGTGCACTTTCCCCTTAAGGTTAGAGAGACCTGTATTTACAACATTTAGGAGCTCCAAAGGTCAGTTCTAGGTAGTTTCATAACTAATGCATACATTTAGAAATAATAAGGGTAACAAACTTCTGGCCATTCTTTCACGTTATTTTGCATTTTCAGTTCATTCTGTACACATGCAAGGATTGAGCACTTTTAGCTAAAACTGAAGTTTATAGGCTGTGTGGACTCATCACTTTTCTCTCTCTTTGTAACTAAGTACTGTGCACCATGAGCTGGCTGTCAGGGCTCCTTTTGGTTTATAGTCTCTGCTGAGCCATGTCTACCTTTTCCCTGGAGAGCAGGAATGCCAGAGGCATTTTTCTGTTCAGGGATGCTCAGGGCACATTACAGACCTTTGTTGCAAAAATCCCAGCTTTTAACAAAGCAGATGCATTGGGCAGGTGAGGCTCTAAGTAACTGGATGTTTGACAATGAAGTCCTGGTGCCTTTTTCACAGAAAATCTCAAATCCCCTGGTGCAGAGCAGAAACAAAAAAAAATCATCTTCTCTAGGGAGTGACAGCCCTTGAGATTTATGAGGAACATTAGAGTATTTAATTAAAATTGCCAAATAGTCTTCAGTAGGACCAGCACTTCACAGCAGTTCAGCTTGCTAGCTGCCTGTGATTTAGAGTATCCTTGGAATATCTTTAGAGCATCCCTAGAAGTTCTTGAAAACTGTTCTTAGTCTTACTTTTAAGAAACTGCATGCTAGTCCTGAATTAAAAGAAAGCTGCAGCTGTAGAGTTAATAAAATGGTAGTAGGCAGTACCTGTGACACTAGTATTAAAACAGAGCTGAGGTGTTTGAGCAAGGAACTTCCATGGGCAGAGCATCCGCAGGCTGCCACAATTCTTGGGCAAATGGGATCTTGGCACAACCATGCACTCAGCAGGCAGTTCCCAGTGTATTGTTCTGAAGACAAGGGGGGGAGTCTGGACCCCAGGGTGAAAAGAGCCTGACAGTCCTTAATACTGCAAAGAACAAAGATGTAAATGCCATTCAGTGGAGAGCCTGATCTCTTCCCAAGGAGTAGGAAAAGAAATTGCCCACAATGTGCTGGCTGGCTGCAGGAG